ATGAATTTCGACTAAAAAATCTCTGTTCAGATTTGAATGCCAGATTAATCTAGAGGGAAAACCATGAAGAAAAGGCCAAACTTCGTGAAAATCGGATGAGATTTGGCCGAGTTATGGGGGTGGTCATATTTGACCCATGTCTATATACGAATCTTGGGGTAAGAATTGGACATGAATTTTGACTAAAAAATCGGTGACGAGATTTGAATGCCAGATTAATCTAGAGGGAAAGCCATGAAGAAAAAGCCAAACTTCGTGAAAATCGGATGAGATTTGACCGAGTTATGGGGGTGGTAATTTTTAACCCATGTCTATATACGAATCTTGGGGTAAGATTTGGACATGAATTTCGACTAAAAAATCTCTGTTCAGATTTGAATGCCAGATTAATCCTAAGGGAAAACCATGAAGAAAAATCCAAACTTCGTGAAAATCGGATGAGATTTGACCGAGTTATGGGGGTGGTAACTTTTGACCCATGTCTATATACCAATCTTGGGGTAAGATTTGGACATGAATTTCGACTAAAAAATCTCTGTTCAGATTTGAATGCCAGATTAATATAGAGGGAAAACCATGAAGAAAAAACCAAACTTCGTGGAAATCGGATGAGATTTGGCCGAGATATGGGGGTGGCAACTTTTAACCCATGTCTATATACGAATCTTGGGGTAAGATTTGGACATGAATTTCGACTAAAAAATCGGTGTCGAGATTTGAATGCCAGATTAATCTAGGGGAAAAACCATGAAGAAAAAGCTAAACTTCGTGGAAATCGGATGAGATTTGGCCGAGATATGGGGGTGGTAAATTTTGACCCATGTCTATATACGAATCTTGGGGTAAGATTTGGACATGAATTTCGACTAAAAAATCTCTGTTCAGATTTGAATGCCAGATTACTCTAGAGGGAAAACCATGAAGAAAAATCTAAACTTCGTTGAAATCGGATGAGATTTGGCCGAGATATGGGAGTGGTAACTTTTGACCCATGTCTATATACGAATCTTGGGGTAAGATTTGGACATGAATTTCGACTAAAAAATCTCTGTTCAGATTTGAATGCTAGATTAATCTAGAGGGAAAACCATGAAGAAAAGGCCAAACTTCGTGAAAATCGGATGAGATTTGGCCGAGTTATGGGGGTGGTCATATTTGACCCATGTCTATATACGAATCTTGGGGTAAGAATTGGATATGAATTTTGACTAAAAAATCGGTGACGAGATTTGAATGCCAGATTAATCTAGAGGGAAAACCATGGAGAAAAATCTAAACTTCGTGGAAATCGGATGAGATTTGGCCGAGATATGGGGGTGGTAACTTTTGACCCATGTCTACATACGAATCTTGGGGTAAGATTTGGACATGAATTTCGACTAAAAAATCGGTGCTCAGATATGAATGCCAGATTAATCTAGAGGGAAAACCATGAAGAAAACGCCAAACTTCGTGGAAATCGGATGAGATTTGACCGAGTTATGGGGGTGGTCATTTTTGACCCATGTCTATATACGAATCTTAGGGTAAGATTTGGACATGAATTTCGACTAAAAATCGATGTTCAGATTTGAATGCCAGATTAATCTAGACGGAAAACCATGAAGAAAAAGACAAACTTCGTGAAAATCGGATGAGATTTGGCCGAGATATGGGGGTGGTAACTTTTAACCCATGTCTATATACGAATCTTGGGGTAAGATTTGGACATGAATTTCGACTAAAAAATCGGTGTCGAGATTTGAATGCCAGATTAATCTAGAGAAAAAACCATGAAGAAAAAACCAAACTTCGTGGAAATCGGATAAGGTTTGGCCAAGATATGGGGGTGGTAAATTTTAACCCATGTCTTTATACGAATCTTGGGGTAAGATTTGGACATGAATTTCGACTAAAAAATCTCTGTTCAGATTTGAATGCCAGATTACTCTAGAGGGAAAACCACGAAGAAAAATCTACACTTCGTGGAAATCGGATGAGATTTGGCCGAGATATGGGAGTGGTAACTTTTGACCCATGTCTATATACGAATCTTGGGGTAAGATTTGGACATGAATTTCGACTAAAAAATCTCTGTTCAGATTTGAATGCCAGATTAATCTAGAGGGAAAACCATGAAGAAAAGGCCAAACTTCGTGAAAATCGGATGAGATTTGGCCGAGTTATGGGGGTGGTCATATTTGACCCATGTCTATATACGAATCTTGGGGTAAGAATTGGACATGAATTTTGACTAAAAAATCGGTGACGAGATTTGAATGCCAGATTAATCTAGAGGGAAAGCCATGAAGAAAAAGCCAAACTTCGTGAAAATCGGATGAGATTTGACCGAGTTATGGGGGTGGTAATTTTTAACCCATGTCTATATACGAATCTTGGGGTAAGATTTGGACATGAATTTCGACTAAAAAATCTCTGTTCAGATTTGAATGCCAGATTAATCCTAAGGGAAAACCATGAAGAAAAATCCAAACTTCGTGAAAATCGGATGAGATTTGACCGAGTTATGGGGGTGGTAACTTTTGACCCGTGTCTATATACCAATCTTGGGGCAAGATTTGGACATGAATTTCGACTAAAAAATCTCTGTTCAGATTTGAATGCCAGATTAATATAGAGGGAAAACCATGAAGAAAAAACCAAACTTCGTGGAAATCGGATGAGATTTGGCCGAGATATGGGGGTGGCAACTTTTAACCCATGTCTATATACGAATCTTGGGGTAAGATTTGGACATGAATTTCGACTAAAAAATCGGTGTCGAGATTTGAATGCCAGATTAATCTAGAGGGAAAACCATGAAGAAAAAGCCAAACTTCGTGGAAATCGGATGAGATTTGGCCGAGATATGGGGGTGGTAACTTTTGACCCATGTCTATATACGAATCTTGGGATTAGATTTGGACATGAATTTCGACTAAAAAATCTCTGTTCAGATTTGAATGCCATATTACTCTAGAGGGAAAACCATGAAGAAAACGCCAAACTTCGTGGAAATCGGATGAGATTTGACCGAGTTATGGAGGTGGTCATTTTTGACCCATGTCTATATACGAATCTTGGGGTAAGATTTGGACATAAATTTCGACTAAAAAAGATCGATAAGATTTGGACATGAATTTCGTGAAAATCGGATGAGATTTGACCGAGTTATGGGGATGGTAAATTTTGACCCATGTCTTTATACGAATCTTGGGGTAAGATTTGGACATGAATTTCGACTAAAAAATCGATGTTCAGATTTGAATGCCAGATTAATCTAGAGGGAAAACCATGAAGAAAAAGCTAAACTTCGTGGAAATCGGATGAGATTTGGCCGAGATATGGGGGTGGTAATTTTTGACCCATGTCTATATACGAATCTTGGGGTAAGATTTGGACATGAATTTCGACTAAAAAATCGATGTTCAGATTTGAATGCCAGATTAATCTAGAGGGAAAACCATGAAGAAAAAGCCAAACTTCGTGGAAATCGGATGAGATTTGGCCGAGATATGGGGGTGGTAACTTTTAACCCATGTCTATATACGAATCTTGGGGTAAGATTTGGACATGAATTTCGACTAAAAAATCGGTGTCGAGATTTGAATGCCAGATTAATCTAGACGGAATACCATGAAGAAAAAGCTAAACTTCGTGGAAATCGGATGAGATTTGGCCGAGATATGGGGGTGGTAACTTTTGACCCATGTCTATATACGAATCTTGGGGTAAGATTTGGACATAAATTTCGACTAAAAAATCGGTGTTCAGATTTGAATGCCAGATTAATCTAGAGGGAAAACCATGAAGAAAAAGCCAAAGTTCGTGAAAATCGGATGAGATTTGACCGAGTTATGGCCGTGAAGAAAAATCCTATATCATATATACATATATTCTATTTTAGAAGCTATATGTCAAGTTAGGTGACTCTAGTTCTTATTATTTACCAAAATTGCCCAAAAAACAGGATATCGATATCGATTTTTATCGATTGCTTCTTGGAAACGGAGTAAGTTATCGATTATCGGAAACAAACTCGATCTGCGCGGGAGCTAGGAGCATCTACATCTAAAATTTCAAGTCTCTAGCTCTTATAGGTTCTGAGATCCTTGCGTTCATACATTCGGTCAGACTGACGGACGGACGGACGGACAGACAGACGAACATGGCTAGATCGACTCAGCTATTTATGCTGATCAAGAATATATATGCTTTATGGGGTCGGAGTTGCTTCCTTCTGTCTGTTACATACATTTGGCTTTCGCACAAATACAATATACCCTTATACCCATTTTTAATGGGTTCAGGGTATAATTAAATGTACAAGCTTGTGTAGTCAAAAAGTAGCTGTGAGCATACATAATTTTAGCTTGCTTTATGCAAATCTTCTAGAGAAAAGCTTAATTGGACCAGCTTGGCGCTCAGCCTGATCTCGAAAGACCTGCACTGTAAGATGTCAACATATATATGTATATATGTCGTAGAAACTAGTTTTCCGTATATAAATAAACTTCATTCATTTCAATAGACAAAGGTGCGGAACTCAAACGAATTGCGTTCATAATTAGGCATCGGCATATTATTGCTTATGGATTTTTTAAAACTGACTGGTTTTTTTTTACTTAAATAACGTAAATATTCCGAGCCCCACAATTTAACAAACAGCCATAAAGAAATCTCTGGCTCCAAAAGCTTCGATGTATGTGCAATTTTCGTATATGCACATTGGAAATAGCTACAAATTATAAACTATAAAAGTATTATAGTTGAAAACAAGTGACAACAAAATAAAATCCACAATTCTATGGTGGTAAACAAATGAATAATAAAATAATCGTAAAGCACGTGTGTTCCCTGATTATATTAATAATTAGCTTTATCGGCTGCAGGCTAGTGACCTTTTTACACTTACACAATCTGTTAGCTTGCTGCTCATAATACGTGTATTTGTATAAAGGCAAAGTTGCAATAAAGATACTGCCCAATCGCATTTGATTGTCCAACAACATGTGAACAAATATTTGTGCAGTAAAGCTATGAGAATGGCAGGCCAACCCATTTGTGGACTGGTGCAATGGCAACAACAGGCTGTGCTAACGCATTAATCGCCAATGCAAGTGTCACAAGTGTCGCCGGCTCAAGGTGAAGTGCATCGCTCAACCGTATTTTGCTGTTTGCACACTTGTTTGCCCGCTTGTCAGTCTTTATGAACGAATACCCTTTTAGTCGCGATTAAGGTCGCTGCGCTTCTGTATATTTGCATTATACGAGTGTTAATCAATATTTAATTGTGCACTTTTCAGCGTGACCAACGAAGTAGTATAATTATCAATTTAATTTTAAGATTTCGCCCACATATCTATATACGAATGTATAATGCGTAAACTTGTATATATAGCCGGAAGGTACATATACACTTATATATATATAAATATATATATATATGTATGTATATGTACTTGGGAATACGCAAATGCAAAGTGCCAACTAAATGTATTTGTAAATACATACATATGTGTACAGCCAAATGAATATAAGTATGTACAATTCTTACCATCGGAAAATTTCCATTAAGACAAAATTATCGTTCGCTTATGGGACAACTCTTAAAAATAAAAATATTATTCGTTGATTAACATCTTCTCTATTTATTCTTTTATTCATAGAAATCTCAACAGAATGCAAAACGCGTGTCAAATATATATGTATTTTCGTATTTTCTACTGCCCGGCGTCGAACGCGTGAAGGCGAATGAAAATGAAAAGCAAAACAAAGCCCGATAAACCAAAGCGTATCCCAAAATAAAGACAAGTAATGTGCTCTAAATTTATTTTTGATAAAATTTAATAATAAATTTTGTTAATTTAGGTCGCTGATATTACAATTGATATTATACATGTGTAAATATGTTAATTCGTACTGAAATTTAACATTATATTTTATTTAAAATTTGTTTGGCAAATTGTATACAATAACATCTGATAGAGTATGTGCTCAGTACGTACCCGGGTGTATGTATATACGATAAGCATGTGTATATACATATGTATATACATACTTTAATGACTTTTAATCTGCAAATGCTGTAACTAGGGCATATTCTATATGCCCATCTTCTTAACAAAAACAATAAAGAAAAAAAAACACTTTATATATGTATATGTATATTGTATAGTCACAAAAATCGGAATATAAAATGAAAATCATGCAGCATATAAATTAAAATACGTATTATATAAATTATAAAAAATATAAGGTTTTTATTTATACATAACTTTTAAACATAATTATGGCCGAACGTCATTTCACTTTTATTTCAGTTTTATTATTTCTTTCATCTCTCTTGCTTTTTTTTCACTTAAATGCTAGCCACATATAACGCTTCTTCTCTCTCTTATGTCTTTTTATAAACAAGCAAAATATTTCTTGATTTTATCCAAATCGAATTGTTCGGATTGACCGCCCACATGCTGCAATTTCAACTATGTATATAAACCTTTGAAAATTTAACGCCAACTATTAACACAAAAGACGCCTGCTGCCTACAATTTATTCATTTAGTAGGCACGTACGTACTAGTGCTCCGCATACGGCGTAAGGGTCACAGTTGGAACTTGGACGTCGATCCTCAAAGTAGCCCTTGCCAGCCGTCGCCACGCCGCGCGGCACCCGTACACTGACGGCACGGTTAGCAACGCCCCATGAGAACTTGTCGATGCTGGAAGTCTCCAATCGGCCAACCAGACGACGCTCGTTGTCCTTGCCCTCTTTGGGATCGTAGGCCTTGATGTGGCGCTGGTGCTGTTTGCTCAGCTTCTCTATGGCCTCCTCGATGGCCTTCATGCCCCCATCGGCACGCATGGCCTTTGTGGAGAAATTTGTGTGAGCACCTGCACCGTTCCACTGACCTTCCATTGGCTTTGGATCGAATGTTACAACAACGCCGTACTCCTCAGCTATACGCTGCAGGATGTAGCGCGACACCCAGAGATCATCGCTAGCTTTCATGCCGTTGCTGGGGCCGACCTGGTACTCCCACTGTGCTGGCATTACCTCTGCGTTGGTGCCGGCAAAGTCGATTCCAGCGTAAAGGCAGGCAATAGCGTGAGCTTCAACGAGATCGCGGGCATATACCCGGTCGGCTCCCACTCCACAGTAGTAGGGTCCCTGTGGGGCCGGAAAGCCGTTGTCGGGCCAACCAAAGGGACGCCCGTCCACGTCGAGTAACGTGTATTCCTGCTCAATACCAAACCAGGGCTCCTGGTCACCAATTTTGTTAACAGCATCCTGAAAGGCAGCGCGCTTATTTGAGGGCGTGGGCTTTCCGTCAGCACTGTAGGTGTCACACATGACGATAATATCGTTTTTGCCGGGCTTAAAAGGATCGCGATAGACTGCTCTAGGCTTGAGCGTTGTGTCCGAGTTTTCACCCTGTGCCTGATAAGTAGAGCTGCCGTCATACTGCCAGTCGGGCAGATCCTCCACCGAGCTGGGCACTTTATCAAGTACGCGATCCTTCAGACGAATATTCTCGCCTGTTCCATCGATCCACAGATATGTAGCTTGCACTCGGTTTGCAGGCGTTTCAAGGTTTCGATAACGCTGGAGAATGCTCTTGTCCAGCGCCGTGTTGGGCGAGTTGCTTAGAAACTGAGCCTTGGCGGCGTTTGAGGTGCGCATCAGGCGCAGCTGCTGTGCTGCCGGGGCGGCCAGCTCCTTTTTCAGGAAAAGTCCAGCGACACGGAATGCCATAGCGATGCTTGGGTATGAGTGAAGAAAAGGATACATTTACTTTTGTACTGAGCAAAATCTGAGAGCACTGTGTGTTTGTATGTATATGTGTATACAAGAAGTTCAAGGATAATGGATGTGAGGTACTTGCGCAAGAGATGTCATCTCAATGTTAAATTTCACATTTGATTTGTCTGAACTTGTATTCAACTTCTATTGATATGTACAAATTTTTGCTCAAACTTTATACACTCATACGTATTCATGTATGCACGCATGTATATGTATTACATCTGCATTTACTTTTGTTTCGCTCAACTTACATTTACACTAATTGCACTATACTGTTATATGTATATATGTATTGTTTCTTGTTTTTTTTCTTTTTTTTATAAAGTTTGTTCTCCTCTTGGTAGCCTTCGCGAAACTTGCGCGCTGTTTTATCACTTGCGGAGCGACTGCTTGGGACGCCCAACCTATACGAAGTTAGGAAGGTTTGTGAATACAATTCACGACACAACATTCACTTTTCTCGTTTGGCTCGCCAGTCTCGATTTTTCTTTATCGCATTTTCAGCCGACGGCGCGACGAACGCAACGGCGCAGAGGCATCGGCAGTGTCGACGCGTCCTACAGTGATACCAACGCGAACGTGTCCAAAACATACACAGCCCATGGGCAGAAGAGCGAGACAGAAAACAAGAGGGGTAGAGAGACAGAAGTGGGCGCCCACATGCAAGTGCTATCACTGACTCTGAGAGCAAGTGAGTGACACTAATGACGCATTAAAACTGCCAGACTAACGTTTCTTTAACGAATACGATAATATCGTCCAGTTGTTGTGGTTGTTCAGCCATTACTAAGTATAAAGATTTATTTAAATACTTTGGTTGGGCTTTAAATAATAAATTATACTTTTTATTCTACATATATGTTTTTATATTACGCGAGCTCACTGTAGAAACTAGTCTGGAGAAACCAAAAATGTAAACAACAAGAGAGCAATACTTGGTGTTCACAATGCGCAGACTCTCGCTCATTGTATGCTCCAGTTAAACAGCGACAAAACTACCCAGGCACCCAAATTCCCTTATTTATCAGGGCAGTATCGCTATCAGGTTGTTTGACCTCCACCAAGCTATAAACATTGTTTCGGGTCATACAACTGCAACAGGGCAATAATTGCCTGCTGATGTTTGGAATGGCACATGCGCTCTTTTAAATAGAGAAAGACCCATGTCTCTTCGCACTGCTGGTCCAAAGTCCATTATCTGTTTTTTTTTCCGCCTGATACATATTAGTGTCTGTGCCAACATACAAAATTTTAAATGTGCAGATGTATGTACATATATAAATATATGCATATGTATGTACTTATTAAGCACACCGGCAGCTCTACCGGCTCTTCATGTTGTGTTTCCTTGTAAGTAAGACTGTAAACTCTGTATGTTAAGAACTTTCACAATTATTCACAGTAAACACCCGCTAAATGGAACCATTACGGATTAAAGTGTTTTTATCTTTATAAAACCAATTCTTTACGACGAAGAAACAGTATAGTTTATATGTACATTCATATGTGCACGTAAAGCATTTTAAAGCTTTTATGCCAAAGAAATCCATTATTTTCTTTGCAGCCTAAATTTCTACTTTTCATTCCAATCTTTTCTGAAACAATTTTTTATGTCCGCCTATAAGTACGCAAGGTTTAATCAGTCTTCAAGTTGTTTTTCCAATAGAAAACAACACATTCGACAAAAATATTAAATATAATTATACGTTAATTATTTTTGAACGGTGGAAATTTTTGTTCGTACTTACACAAATGCCTGAAAATCAAGCTATTGCGATCTACCGAAAACCAGCTTCCGTTGCCTTTGCCAAGCCAGCAGATGTTGCTAGCAGAACATCTATTGCTGTACATTGTTTATATGTTAACATTACATACAACCATAGACATGCAAAAGCTTGTTTTTTGTTGCTAGCAGAAAATGTATTGCTGTACATTGTTTATATGTAAGCGTTGCCTATATATATACACATGGATATGTACAGCATGTTTTTGTTGCTTCACTTGTATATTCGTTACAGTGTTCGCTTGACGTAATTTTGGCTAAGCTTTAAGTTGGTAGTGCGCACACAGACTAAGGCGCTTTCTTCTGCATGTATTAGTACGGTTTTCCACCATAGCGTGCGAAAGTGTGAGTGTTTGCAACTGCTGCACAGTTCGTAGTCACAATGCGTTTCCAGTTGTGTGGCATCGTTTCCAGTGGCTGTCGGTTTGAAGTTTTCTTTCGCAATATACAAAATAAGTTAGGGCTGTTGAAAAGTGCAGACATTTTTTAATCAATTGCGACTTAAGATACTTGACAATTTTTACAACAAGTACATAAGCGCAGACAGCAACCACAAATTGGAGCCGAGTATAAAAATTGGGTAGATTTGGCACTTTGATTCGAATTGCCACTTGTTGCTTCAAGGGTCTCAGACAATAAAATAATTGGATACGATGTACATTTACTATGTACTCTAAACTGATTCGTATTTTTTTTCATTATCGACAAAACTATGGATATTAATAAGTGGGAACAGTTTTTGGAAAATAATAACTTGTGAGTAATAATCTGTCTACCCATACGATAACAAGTAATTTTTTTTAAATTATACGAATAATATAATACGTTCTACGTCGGCTTGATTTTTGAAGTTAGGTTATTTTTAGTTCAGCTATCAGAAATAATACTGATTTACTTAAGCTTTATTTAAGCTTGAAAATAACACATTGGAAAACGAACGCCATGTCATCCCAATAGGAAACAATATTTTATTCGTAGAAAACTCAGTACTTTGCATAACTGGAAATACCAATTACTCACTAGCTTTTCAATTGTATGGACTCTGTACGCATAACACGAATAGATAAAAATCTAGCGTCAAATATGGTTGAGCTTGGAAAATTGTTGTCATGGAAGTCTTAACAAGAGAAACCGGTTTGTTTTAGTTGCATTTTGCAATAACTGCACCGCACGGCAAAATATCACCCGACTATTTCTTATATCGGGCAACTACACAACTTTATGGAATTCGCATAAAATTTGTACTTTCCCTGTTTGCAAGTTAATTAAATCAAGTTCATTTCTGGAAACCTTAACAAATATACAATGTGTGTTAAAAAAATATGTCTTGTATGTGAATGAATACGTTGGTAATCACAGGTACCCATGCCAGTATATGTATCCTGTTTAACTTGATTATAAACAGAACGCATTTGCATTGTTAACCAAATAGAATTTATTTAACAATATTCATTAAAAACGAGAATAAATTTTATTAAAGGCTTGACTTTCCCTGAACTTAAAATAAAGAGTAAATTATATACGGCAACAGTTAGTTACTACAATTATAACTGTTACCATATAACAATCATAAAATAATGATACCATAAATAACTAA